AAAGGATCATTCCCCGAAAGCTTCTCTAAGCTTACCAGCCTTACCACCCTGTGAGTGTTCTTGCAGTTAAACAAAAACCACAAGTCATTAAGCCAGCCAGGCCACTTTACCTTTCAGAATTCTAGCCCTTTCATACGTAAATCAGCCAGAGCGATGCCCTAGGAGCACACGAGGCAAGTATGTGGGCCAATGCCATATCAAGCCATGCAGGTGGTACTACTAGCCTGTGAGCAATTTAAAAGTGAAAGCCTCAGTGCGGTATCACCACTCTTATTCGCTTTGTCCCACGGCGTGGCAACTGCAGGGATCTGAGCAACAACTCCCTCTCTGGCTCCCTTCCTACCTCTATCAGCGCTCTCACCTCCCTCACCATCCTGTAAGACCCTGTGTTTCACCCTACCTGCTCCTTTTGTTGTTCCTCTTTCTAAAACACTTCTGGTTTGAGGGGACTTGTGTGCGATTACGATTCAATAGACATCCCCACGCCTTTCTGCTGCTGCTGTTGCTTCTGCTGCTGCTGCTTTTTTCCCGTGGCTCCACACGGCCCATTTTAAACAATCATTCAATGAATGATATGGAGTGGTGTGTGTGCGGCATGTTACGCATGCCATGGTGTGTTGTATGCGTGGCTGGGAATGATTACATGACAGGTATTTGCACAACAACTTGTTTGAGGGATCGCTCCCCAACCTCCCATACAACGTATCGACAGTGTATGTGCCTTGCATGCAGGGACCTTCTTCCCTCTGCACAATCACAGCACTCTTTCTGCTCTCCATAATGGCTACTTGGTTCGCTTGTCCAGACACCACAGTCGCTCCATTTCACACTACTATCTATTACCACAACGTCTGTGGTAGCATTTTGGACATAATAAGCGTATTGCACTCAAAGGTTATGCTATTTCCTCTCACTGCTGGTTATTGTTTGTGCCCTGCTGGTGTTTACAGCGATCTCAGCAGAAACAGCTTCACAGGAGGATTCCCACAGAACACAGCACAGATTAGCAGCCTTGCCTCACTGTAAGGGCACTCCCGCACAAGCATTTCCACACGAGCACTTCAGCACAAGAACTTCACCACAAGCACTTCAGCACAAGAACTTCACCACAAGCACTTCAGCACAAGAACTTCACCACAAGCACTTCAACACAAGAGCTTCACCACAATCACTTCAACAAAAAAAACTCAACACAAGCACTGCCACACAAGCACTTTAGCACAAAAGCTGCACAACAAGCACAGGTACATACATCAACATTCAGGGTCACTTGCTGCAACCTTGCCCTTGTGCTTCATACGCTGGCCTCCTTCATATGATTTTTTCAGAAAAACCTCCAACCTTTTGAGTTTACTCAAAAAGCACCGTATAGGCTAGTCCCTCATTATGTCCAGTCTACTCCTCTCTTGTCTGCAGGAACGTTAGCAGCAACAGGCTGTCTGGCACGCTGCCTGCGGAGCTAAGCAGTCTCTTGGCCCTTACATCTCTGTACGTACCACTGCATTCCCAACCAACGTGAACGTAAAATGGAATTTGTGACGTCTCAAAAGAACGTTTTTGAGACGTCTCAGGACTAAGCAGTCTCGTGGCCCATACATCCCTGTAGGTGCAACCGCAGTCCCAAGAAATTTGATCACCCACGTCCATGCACCCACATGCATGTACTTGCACATGCTCTACTTATCCTTGGAAATTTCCCACCCTTAATTCTACACCTCCTATGCCTTCCATAACATCTCCTCACACAACTCCTCACACACCTCCTCTTACACCCCTCTCGCACCTCATCCTCTCACACCTCTCACTCCTCATCCTCGCACACACACCTCCTCTCACACCTCCTCATCCCCTCCCACCTCCTCTCATACCTCATCCTTACACAACTCCCGTTACACTTCTCCTACACCTCCTGCCATCCCTCCTGCAAGCAGCAACACGAGTGGCAACCAGTTCTCAGGCGCCATTCCGCCCTCGCTTCAAGCCCTCAAGCGCCTTCATTTCCTGTGAGACAGCTCGTTTCCCCCAATTTCAAGACCATTCCATCCACGTGGCGTCAGATGTCTGGCTGGTCGTTGTTTTTACACCTGGCTTTCAAATCCTACGTGCACCTCTGGACTCCTGTGTGCCCCATATTTGAAATGGATTCCAGGCTTCAAACAGCTTCGTCCTTGCTACCTCCATCTTTCCCTTCTCTGGATCTCGCCCTCTGTTGAACTCCACGTGGCTTGCTGTCATTGGCAGGGATCTGAGTGGCAACTCTCTCAGTGGAAGCATCCCAGAATTCCTGAGTGTGCTTGTGCTGATGCAGAGCCTGTGAGTGCACTGCTGCTCATGGGTCAAAAGGCTCATAGGCTCATAGGGGGATAACCAAAGAGCTTAAAAATGCCACACGTTCTGTCGTGGCGAGAATGAGCGTGCTTCTGACCCACCAAATGAACATGTCTTAGCAACTGAGTCGGTTAGTGGACTGGTGTATCAAACACAAGCCGTGCTGCTCCAGAGGCTGTGGGGAGATTTTCGAGGTGCCTAGAAATTGTTTGTGAGGAGGCGAGTGAGTCAATGCTCATTACCACCACCTATACCATACGGGACCACTTTCAAGATGTTTTTAAGACAAAATAAGGAGTCATCTCACCACCACCTCCACGCTACTGCTACCACTCGCCTTTCCCTTTCATCACTCACCCACACCACACGCCACCACTGCTGCCACTCCTCATGCCATTTTCTTCCCACCCTGCTGACATTCGTGCGTTCTTCCTACTACCATTGTGCTGTTGCGTACACAGCAATCTCAGCACCAACTCGCTCTCTGACACTGTCTCTGCATCCCTGGGAGCTCTGGCACAGTTGACCTGCCTGTAAGTGTCACATACGAGCTGAGCTAAATACTTGGTGGCCTTTCCATGCGGAGAATTGAGAACCATGGAGGGAAAGGTCCTCGGAAAATGGGATGCATGCAACAGCTGGTTGCTGTTGACAGTTGATACGTCGGAAGATGCGGAAGTGGAGACTTCACAGTTTAACACGGGGTTTCTTACCGTTGCATCAACCTGCAAGGAAAAAGTCTGCACGGTAGTGATGCCCAAGGGTAACGAAGCTGGGTCAGCAGAGGCTTCAGTCTCCAGGGCACGTTGCGGAAACGACGTGATCGTGATGCACAATCCCTTTTCCCGCATCAACAAGTTTGAGCCAGAGTCTACGGTTGGCCAAGATGGAAGTTGTACATGGTGTAGTCACCTCTTTCCTCTGCTACCAGCCATTCACGTGCTTCTTGATATCATTTGCTTACCACACCTCTCCTGCCCTGTACCACCATCCCTCTCCTCATCCCCCCGTCACCATTCCTATCTCCCCTCTCCGTTGTTTGCCACAGCGACGTCAGCAGCAACCAGCTCTCCGGGTCCATCCCATCTGCCTTGGGCAGTCTTACCATGCTCGTGCACATGTGAGTTATTAACGTGCAAGTACTGCATGCTCGTGCATATGTGAGTTTTTTACATATGCGTGCTGCATGCTCGTGCATATGTGAGTTTTTTACATATGCGTGCTGCATGCTCGTGCATATGTGAGTTTTTTACATATGCGTGCTGCATGCTCGTGCACATGTGAGTTTTCAGCATGCGCGTGCTACATGCTCGTGCATGTGTGAGGTCCCTCCCTGTGTGATGTGATTTCTGGTTCACTCTCGGTCTATTCTCACACCCATAACATAGCCATACAACCTTCTTTTCCAACAAAACTCATGCCACAACCTCTCGCTTCTCCTTGCAGGGACATGAGTCACAACGGCTTCTCAGACTCTATCCCAGCCAGCATCGGCCGTCTCACAGCCCTCACCTCCCTGTACGATTAGACCCGTTCATCCAGATGGGATCATCCAAATCACCCTTTCTTCCCTCCTTGAAGCGTCTCCCTGTGTGTTGGCATCACATCCTTTCGTTCGGCTGGCTCACAGCCCTCACGTCACTGTACGCTCACATGGGATCCTTCATGCCTCCCTCGATTGGATTCGATCCAAAAGTCACCTTGTTGCCTCCCTCCTTAAAGAACGTGCCTGCTAGCTAGCATTTCCAGCCCTGTCTGCAGGCCCCTGTGCCATCCTTGCGCATTTGTTCTTGCATTGAGAGCACTTGGACTACAGTAGAGTCCCATCGTTCCTCCTTGTGGCTGTGCCTTGGCTTGTGAACGTTACAGTCTCTGCTACGTGCCCCTTGATACAGCATCTTAGCAAGATATACCACTCGACTAAAAAATCTATTAACCTTCTTGACCATCACAGGCTGCTGCAGCCTCCTTGCCATGCTTGTTTTGCTTCTCTCAAAACACAACCCATGCACTCTACACCTCACACCACCCGTGCAGGAATCTGAGCCACTCAAGCCTCACGGGCCCCATCCCTGATTCCTTCACCTCGCTCTCCAACCTGTTTTTCCTGTAAGCAGCCAAACAATGGACTCCTAAAGGCCACAACCAAGACCTGCTGTTCCCAGAAGTTCCCAAGCTGTGCGCTCTCATAGATTCGCCTCACAGCTGGTAATGTCCTTCAGCGCGCCTCAAAACGCATCACAAAGAGAAATCAAGTAGATTGCACAGATGTGAAATCACTAAATGATATGGAGTGAAATCCTTAGCCTGTTTTGTGCATGGATTTCGATCCGAAAATATCTGTAAGTTGCAAGCGTTTTTCCTTTGCAAGGTGTCGTCTTATATGCACCACACCAGCACAGCATCCATGTTCCTCATCTGAACGTCCCCCCCACACTGCTCTGATCTGCACTGCAGGGATCTGAGCTACACCGGGGTGGCTGGGTCAGTGCCATGGGGCATCAACAGCCTGGAGCAGCTGCAGGCACTGTGAGACACTTCATCCATACATGCCTGCCCTGACGTTAAGTGGAGATAATATCTAATCATGCTGGTCCATGCAAGATTACAGGTTACAGCTCTTCATCTAAGTTGCAGAGCTTTCATCTGAGCCTACCCACGCTTCTTGATGGATGGAGCAACGAAAGAAGTTAAACACCTCGTGGGAGGAGGAGGAGGATAGTGGCGCACTGGCATGGCACCTCCCATGCCTTGTCCTCACTCCTTCCGCACACACCCCTTGCCCTGCCCTCACACCTTCCTACAATACCCTCACAACCTTACCTCATGCGCGCCACCCCACCTTCACACCACCAGGTACGGCACCCCCAGCATCTTCTGCAATGACAGCGCCACCTGCCCTGCCACCTCTCCACCACCCGCCAGCCCGTTGCCCCCTGCTGCACCGCCAGCCAACTTGTCTGCGCCCAACACCACCTGCCACGTGTGCCAGAGCTACTGCCTCGGCTGCTCCGCCTCTCCCTCTGGTGCGTCTCCTACCGCTACAGCTTTACCTCCTGTGCCGCTTCTTCCAAAAGACTCATTCCATCATTCGTTGCATCCTTTCTCCCAGGAGTTCTACAGAATAATATGTGTCGATGCGTGATAGAATGAGTATCATCGGAGGAGAATGGCCAGCCACAGCTGCTCTGCACATTCACTCCATGCTCTCCTCACTATCTTCCTTCTCTCTCTCCGTCGTGTTCTGTTCTCCCTTTTCATGCCTCCTCAGCTACGGCCATCGACTCCACCAGTGGTCTCTCCGCGGGAGCCATAGCAGGCATAGTTGTGGCGGCACTCCTTGCACTCGTCGCCCTCGCCCTCCTCCTCTGGTTCCTCTTCCGCCCAGCTGAACCTGGTACGTCCTTTTCTAAGTAATTTGCCATGTGCTTTCTTCTCTCGCATATTTTACTCTGTGTTTGCTGTTCACGTTAGTTTGGTCGCAGTCTGCCACAGCGTTCCCCCGCCCCGCTTCGTCCAGCAAGCAGCCACACTGCTAGCACTATTACTACATCTCCTTGTACCTGATCCCCCCTTCCCCCCACCTAGCGTGCAAGCAGTACTCACTGGCGAAGATCCAGCAGGCCACCAACTTCTTCTCGGAGGTCAGCCTAGTGGGCTAAAAATTCGCCAACTGCCTTCCTCTATCTACACCCATTTCCCCCCACGCCTTATCCCCCCCCAGCGTGCAAGCAATACTCCCTCGCTGAAATCCAGCAGGCCACCAACTTATTCTCGGAGGTCAACCTGATTGGATCAGGGGGCTTCAGCGACGTGTACAAGGGCGTCGACCCACAAGATCCAGAGGTGCTGTGGGCTGTGAAGCGCGCCACCATGCTCTCTAATGACTTCAAGAAAGAGGTGAGGGGGTTGTAGGGGTGGAGGGAGGGGATTTTGGAAAACGAGGAGGTGAGGGGAGGGTGGGGACGGGGGGAGGGGGAGGAATTGCGGGGAAAAAGAGAGTGAATGGAAGCAAAGGTTTGGCACTATGAGGCTTTTGCGATGTCTACAAGGGCGTGGACTCAAAAGACCCCGAGTTCGTGTGGCCCGTCAAGCGCACCACCATACTCTTAAATGACTTCAAGAGAGAGGTATGGGGAACGGGAGAGGAAAGAGGGAGGAAGAGTTGTGGGATAGCAACCATACTATATGGCTGCAGCAACATGTACAAGGGTGTCATCCACATAGACCCGACTTCTGAGGAGCCTCAAAAGTTGTCAGCGACATATACAAGGGCATGCATCCGCATGGACCCGGAGGTGGTGTTGGCCTTGAATTGCGTCAGTGTGATTTTCGATGACTTCAAGGAGGAGGTACGGGAGTCAAATGGATTGTTTGTGTGAACCGGTGTGGAGCGGTGTCGACCAGTGTAGACCAGTGCAGACTGGTGCGAATCGGTGTGGGGCGGTGTGGACCGTCAAGTGCACCATGCTCTCCAACGACTTCACGTAAGTGGTGGGGAGGGGGTAGATGAGGGGGAACAAAGGCAAGAGCCTATGTGGCTAAACTGATGTGTACAGGGTCGTGCCCTTGCTGGGGCACTACAACGACTATAATGCCTGCTCCCGCTCACGCCTTCTCCTTTCCACTTCACCTTCCTAATCCCCCACTCCCAGGTGAAAGCGATGGCGTGGCTGCAGCACCCAAGGCTGGTGCCACTGCTGGGGTATTGCATCGACTACAATGAGAGCAGCCGGCAGATGGAGCAGATCATCGTGTCTCAGTTCATGCCCAATGGGGACCTCTCACACAGGACAGGTGCAGGTGAGGTTAAGCACGCAGGCTTCCAATCAAATCACATGCGTTTCTTTCAAGCTGGCAGACGGAGCAAATCACTGTTTCCCAGTTCATGCCCATGGAGCCAAGCCAGGTGATGTTAGGGCAAATCTAGGTGAGCCATGCTCTCACTCCCACACCCCTAGTCCCTCATGCCCTCATCTCTCCGTTCCCCCATCCTTGCACCTCCGAGGAGCCAAAGCCCTCTGACCTCACGAACCCGTAATTATGCATGCCCTTTCATCTCCTCATGCCCATACCTCGCAGGAGCCAAGCCCATGTCGCTGCGGCAGAGGCTGGCGGTGCTGGTGGACGTGGCGGATGGGCTGAGCTTCCTCCACAGCCGTCGGATTGTGCACCGCGATGTCAAGCCGGCCAATGTGCTGCTGGATGCCAACATGCGGGTGAGACATCCGTAGATGCATGCATACATACATACATACATACATACATACATACATACATACATACATACATACATACATACATACATACATACATACATACATACATACATACATACATACATACATACATACATACATACATACATACATACATACATACATACATACATACAGACATACATACATACATACTTACATACGTACACAGATATTCTTGTGAATCTCTTCATTCATTTCCAGATTTTCTATTCTTGTTAATAATCAAACATCCCCTTTAGTTGCTACTTTTGTTTAAATCCTTGCTTACTGGTGCCTCGTCATCACTTTTCACACCTCATTCCACTGCTTCTTCTCATCCTCCCTCCCATTACACCACCCACCCTCACAGGCGAAGGTGGCGGATTTTGGGTTCATGAGGATGATGGAGGCGAGCAAAGTCAACCCCACGAGGGTGATGGGCACACCGGGCTATGTGGACCCCGAATACCATGACACGCACCTCGCCACCACCGCCACTGATGTCTACAGGTGAGAACTGTTGCCTCATTTACCTTTGATTGTAGCCTGTAGCGTTCGGATATGTGGAACTGATAAGTACCCCAGCACCACCACTGACATGTACAATTGAGCAGCACCTCGAATCATTGGAGCTGTAGCTGTGGGTTCTAGTCAGCTCACGAGTCACATCTGAAGCTGCAGTAGCTGTTGGAAATGAGCTCTCGGATCTGCTCAGCTACAAGGTGACCCGACCCTTCCCCTTCCCCTTATCCTCCAGATTCAGAGTGCTGAGGCTGGAGCTGCAAACAGGTTGGGAACCCATCTCGCTCGGCTAGAAGCTGATCTGCTGTATCCACTCCTCTCTCCGCAACCACACCAAACAACCTTCCCCCCCCCCCCACCCACCTCTCTTCAGTTTCGGAGTGCTGGTGCTGGAGCTGCTGACAGGCAGGGACCCCATTCTCTCTGTTGATGGCTCTCAGTCACACATCCGGGAATGGGTGAGTCACACTCCCCTCATCTCCATACTACCTCTGTTGTTGTCCATCGTTCACCTGTCTCTCAATATCCAAGAACTCATGGCTCCAGTCCTAATATTTCTCCTTGATACCCTCCTTTCAAGAGCTTCATTTAGCAACTTGCTGCTACTTATCTCTCCTCCCTCCCACCAATCCCCTCTTACATGTCCATCTCCTCCTAATCGTTTTCCCTCCTACCCCATCTGCCCACGTACAGGCGACAGCAGAGCTCTCTAGCAGTGACGTCAGCTCCATCATTGACCCGTGGATGGCCTCCCCAGCTGCCTCTACCAGTGACGTCCGCATGGTCCATGCAGACATCCTGCAGAGCCTTGCATCCCTGGCGTTGGCATGCACTGCCATGCCCGCTGCCTCGCGCCCCTCCATGGCCAAAGTGCTCTCACAGCTGAAGCAGCTACACCAGGAAGTGGTCAGGCGGGAGGGGGAGAGTGGGTTGGAGCATGGAAGCGGGTTTGTAGGGGTGGATATGGGGGTGGGAGGGGTTGGAGGAGTGGGCGGGCCGGTCAAGGAGAAGTGGGAGAGCCCAGCAGATGGGCCATCAGCGGTGAGTGTGACCCCGGTGACGGCTGTGAGGGATACGACGGGCAGCTTGGAAGGGAATGAGAGCTCGAGTGCTGGAGAAGGGACAAGTGGAGAGGCGAGTGCGAGTGGAAGCATTGCTGGCTATCGCACCTGAGGACCACGTTTGGAGTTTTCAAGGTGAAGATGTACATAGCTGATGTGTTTTTTCTACCTTCTTGATCCTAAGAATTGTATTCCCCTTTGGGTGGGGAGGAAGGGGGGGTGTTGGGGGTGGTGGCCGTGAGTGGAGTGACGGGGGTGGTTGTCACTCCCACTGACGATCCTCTGCTGCTGTGCTATGCCGCTGCCCGCCTTCTCCCTCTCCCTGTTCACTGTACAGCCGAGGAGGGGGTGGGGTGAGGGTGTAGGGGTGGCGGGTGTGATCTGCCAGCAGCTGTCCCTCCACCTCTCCTCCTCCTCCTCCTTCTCCCTGCCACTGCTCCTACTGCAGTGGGGAGTGGGGGAGGGTGAAGGGTGGCAGAAGGGGGGGAGGGGGGGGGGGGGAGGGAATGACCAGCCAGCCGCCTGAAGCTGCTTCACTGTGGTCCTCCTCCTCTCTCCTCTCATTTCCTCCGCCTCTCGTTTCTGCTGCGCATTTCTGCTTCACTAATCGCTTGTGCTGCTTGCGGCTGCATCTCCTCGCCTGCCTCGGGCCTATCGCACGTCTGCCACGCGCCGGTTTAGTTGCTGCCTTGGCAGTCTCTGAGCGTTAGCTGCTTGCGCTGTTTGCTACAGGCAGTTAGGGGGTGTGTCGAACAATGTATAAATACATATAGATATATAAATACATAAATATAGATATAAAGATTTATAAATGTATAAATATAATTTTCTATTGTTAGTATTTGCTTGTAGAAATAGTTACAATTGCCATTTTGTGTCATATTGTTCTTAGTTCTTGCCTATACCATAACTTGTACTTTCATACAATAGTGCAACCCCTTCTTCTTGGCTAGTGGCTCGTATGCAGAGGAGTGGACTGTGGCGAGGAAAATTGAAACTTGAAGCGCCGAAGGACCTGCTGCACCATGTGTGACTCAGTCAGAATGGTGGTGCGCGCCATGTACCTTGGCTGATTTTTCAGCATTTTTATTTGTACTTAGTCTGTTTTTTTCAGCCCTTTTCCATGAGTGTACGCTGAAATTTTCGAGTGATAGCGGGAGAGACTCAATGTTGAATCCGCACATGTCATGATTTTTTGCTCTCCCGCCTCCTGTACCCGCTCTTTCGCCCACTCTCCCTTCCCCCAGACAACCCAGTTTCTTTCGCTCGTCGCTCCCCCCAGCCCATTTCTTCCATACGAAACCCCCTCCCAGCCCACTTCTTACACTTGAAACTCCCCCCTAGCCCCCCAATTCCATTCAGCTCTCCTCCAGCCCGCCCACGTGCCTCTCTCACCCCTCCCCCCAGCCCACCTGTTACATTGGCCCCCTAGCCCATCTGTTTCTCTTGGCACTCCCAATTCATTCGTGAAAATTGTTACACTTTTATTATGTAATCTGTAATAATGCTTGAAATCTAAACCATACACAATCAGCGTTTTCTTCTGTACGAACGCTGAAATTTCAGCGTTTTTTCCTAGGTAACACTGATCGTCAGCGTTTTTTGCCGTACCAAGGCTGATGGATCAGTGTGGTCCAAAATGAATCTAGGGGCTTGGCGGTGAGAGAGTAGAGTTCGTGCGCAGAAACAACGACAGGTTGGCAGTCGAAGGAGCGAATTCAAGAGCCGCAAGTGTCGTCATCAGTGCGTCGTGCCACTCGCGGGGCGCCTGATGGAGACCGTTGTCTAGCCGCTTGCTTTCGCTCTGTTTGTGTAGTGATCTTGAGATCCACCTGAGCGTTGTTTTGCTGCTTCTCTTAACTGGTGTTGTAACAATTTGTTGTGCTTGCTTTCCCTCACTTAGCGAATGGGGGTGTGTCAAAACATATTCATATGCTGTTAGGTTTCTTAGGCTGCATATAGGTATAGAGTATAGAGTACAAATCATTTAGGGTTTCCTACTTGTATCTCATTGTTTCTAGTCACATCCACTTTGGTTCATTCTAAAATAGATGTTCCTCAGCGACTAGCACCGCTGCTCTTCTGCTCTCTCGTAAGCATACACAGCCACGACAGTAATGCCGAATGCATCAGCACAATCACCAGCACAAACTGAAGAACCCATCGTCATCTCATCGGGAACACCATCGCATCACGACAGCGTGGGAAATAGGCGCAGTCAGTGATGGTGCCGCCCAATCCATGTAAGCACCGGGCATGGAGCGGACTAGGCAAGCACAAGGCGTAAACACACCTCACAAAGCCCGCCATCACGTCAGCATTTTGGCACCCGTCGACGACGGCGACATTGGTGCACCGATGCCAATCAAGCCACAGCACCCGCCCTATTTCGATCCTAGCCAGTGAGGACGTCTGACGTTTCAATCGTAGTTGTTCACAATGAATGTATTTTTTCACGCAAATTACATCATTTCAAATCCAGTGAGGATTTGGTACGTCGTTTCCTTACTGCTAGGGCCCGCCATAGACTGATGGCAAGTTGGCCAAGTGAAAACGACGCAAGGGGACAGGCCCTTAAGGCATCTCCACTGCTGCCTTGGGGTTCTCCTCACTCTTGTGCTGTTTCTTATCTGCTGCACCACTCTCATTGGGTTCACGCTGCTTGCTGGTCCCTCCAAGATTGCACTTCTTGGATTCTTTCTCCTTGGCGCCATCGTTCGTGCCATAGCCGCTACCAACCGCTACCAACCGCTTCACCCTTGGTGCTGACGCTTGCTGCCACTTGCCTTTCCTTAGGCATGGGGACCACAGAGATCTGCCACATCTCGTTGTAGACATCCCTATCCTCGCGAAGGTCCCAAAGAATCCGCTCGCCAAGCCTCGCGGTGTAGGTCTTGGCCTCCTTCGAGCTCGTGTCCATGCCGGCCTTTTGCAATCGCCGCACGGAAATCAGATTGGCTGCAAGGTTGGGCACCCAAAGCACGTTCTCGAGGCCTACCATCTTTCCATCAGCACCCTTGAACATGGCCTTGCCCATGCCTTTCACCTCTGCTCGCTGCCCCAAAGTCAATGTGACATGCTTCACCGGTGACGGTTCGAGTTCGGTGAGCAAGTCCGCGCGAGGTGTCGTGCTATAGGTAGCGCCATCATCGATCAGCCAATAGTCTAGGGAGTGTAGGGTGACCTTTCCCACAGGTGCTGGCTCCTCAAAGCCTTCATCCTTCCCTGGTCCAGCCGATGCTTGTGTCGACACGAAGAAGAATTGACCTGGAAAGCGATCGTCCATCGACTCGCTCTCGTTGTCACCGTTCTTCATATTTTCAGAACCACCTCCGAGACCGTCACGGCCTCCACGGCCTCTTCCTCTCCCTCCTCCTGCTCCTCTATCCTTTTGGCCTTGAGCAGGGGTCCATCCATCAAGAATCTTGTAGCAATCGCGCCACATGTGTCCGCTCTTGTGGCAATAATGGCATTCGCCGTCGAATCGGCTGCGACTGCGTCCATAGCTGTTGTCGTCGTTGCCGTAACCGCCACTTCCGCGGCCTCCATTGAAAATGTTGTTGCCAAATCTGCCTCCCCCTTGTCCTCTGCCTCTTCCACGGCCGTAACCCCGGCCGATGCTTGCTGCCCCAACGCCATCCGCACTCGCCAACTCACGGCGGTGGAAATCCTCTTGAAGGATTGCTCGCTTCACGTCTTCAAGCGAGAGGCGGGGCAAGTCATGATTGAGGTTGATGATGAGCAAGGACCATAACTCTGGGAGTAAGGCCAGAAACTTGGTCTTCTTTTGGAGCTCATTGTATTTGACGTCAGCTCGCTCAAGCCGCGTCAGCAAGTCGAAGAATTTCTGCACCTCTTCTTCTACAGGTTCATCTTCTACAATTCGTAGTGTCGCCATTTGCCATTCGAACACCACAGCTACCGCCGCTGTTGCAGGAGCGTGTACACCCTTGAGAGCAGCCCATGCATTTGGTCTCTTCTCTAGTTCACGATGGAATGGCTTGATGTGAAGGATTTCGCTGCTCCCCAACGCTTGCCCTAGTTGGAGGTAGCCTTGTGCGCTCTTCTGCACCCACGTGCTCTTCTCAGGGTCGTTCTCGGGGCGCTTCTCCGTTCCTTCCATCACCTCCAGCAGGTCATGGTGGTCAAATATACTCTCTATTATGAAGGAACACTCAGCAAAGTTGTCACCGTTGAATTTGTCAAGCCCGAATACTCTTGGTTCATCCCTAGAAGGTCCAACAGTAGGTTGCACGGGCGCCATGGCTGAATCACGGGGTTGACCTTGTGCTTGGGGTCCTCCAATGCCTCCAGCACCTGTGTCACCCCTTTCTTCAGGCCCAGCAAACATCGTAGCTGCTTCAAGGCGCTCTGGTACCACTTGTTAAAGCCACAATTGGCTTCAAATGTGCCTAAAACGAAAGATATAGTGCACAGTCGGATTTCTGCACAGCGGTTTCAAACGTTCATAGCGTTCTGGTCACGGTTTAGAACACAAATTAGGAAGAGGATTCAAATTGGTGATCTGGAGCATCTTAATGTCACATACAATAGGCAATTTAGATCGCACAATTTCAATAAGAATTGACGATGCAGCGTCAGTTTTTAACGAACGGTACTATGGCAACCAATATAGTCTTAGAACACAAATTAGGAAGAGTTACGAGTTGGGAATGACTCCCAGCTCCTACAAACCCCAAGAGCCGAGGTACAGTGATGTAGAACAGTGCCACACTGTACCCAACCACGAAGGTTCTCGAAAGTACAAGGGCCTACACCAATTGAAATGTTACACTACACAAAGTAATGTAACTATTCTCACTATCTTGAAGAGTACCCTTTTCGCGGGCTTCGCGTCACTTGAACCTTGAAACCAAAGCTCTGGTTCTTCATCATAAACTCGTAGTTGAGTTCTTGGTGGGTCTGCTGCACACACCTGCGGCATGCCGAACGTTCGACAGATGACAAAATAGAAACGGCGCGAGACACACAAACGACGACGTAACACGCGTCTAGCGATGACTCGCTTTTGACTCGACACACACACACTCGACATCACGACTTCATCATTCACACACTATTATAAGCATGAAATATATATCATCTCATACC